GTGAACCTAAAAATTTACAGCCACTTTTGAAAGGAATGTATCCTTGCTCTGGAAACTATTACTGAATATGTGAAAGCTGTAAGGAAATGCTTCTGTTACTCATGTGATTATTAAATAATAAATAAATAAATAAATAAATAAATATCTGTATATTAAAAAAAAAGAATAATAATATACTCAAGGACCAGTCAGATGGAGAAGTGGGTAAAGGTACTTGTTGCCAAGACTGAGGACCTGAATTTGATGCCCAGGACCCACATGGTGGAAGATGGGAGTCCCTCAAGTGGTCCTCTGACCTTTGCTATGTGTGCACTGTAGTACGTGCACCTGCACACATACATACACACACAAAATAAATGAATGTAAAAAAGAATTTTAAAGATTAGCATACTCAAAATTACCTCTTCTGTAGCTGCTCATCAGACATTTGTAGCTCCTCTTTTAAACGCATATACCTGTCTTCTCTCAGCAACCTGGATCCATCATAGAGACTGAGCTCCCGGTCATGGATTAACCTAATGGGAAAGGGCAATGTTGGGAAACAAATTTATCAGTGTCAAACAGTAACATTATGTGAGATAAAATCACTCAGTCAATACCTAATCAATCATGCCTCTAATTGCCCAGTGGTTGACTCTAACGATTCTGTTAGGTCTACCTTTCAAAATTTTAACCTGGCTAGTGCAGTTACATATTATTAGACTTAGCAGAAGTTCTGGATCTGTGCTGGAGAGTAGCAGTCATGATACTCCATGTGGATATAAAGGAGGAGCAGAAAAAAGGCAAAGAGGAGGAGGGAGACAAACCAAACAGCTGAATCAGTGTCACAGGATAGTTAATAAGGCAGTTAACAAGTACTCCTCTGAATCTAATTTAACATTTTAAGGGAAAATATTACCAAAAAGATTTCTACCTTTGGAACTACAGGATTTAAAATATAAAAACACTTTGTAATGAAATAAATACTGTGATGTAATCTGACTTTCCATACCAGAAGAGGCATTGTTTTAAGTGCTATCAAGGTAAAAGAGCAACAACCAATCAGTCTGCAGGTGTGTAGGTTAGAGCTAGCCCAGAGACTTCCATCCTATGGGCACAGAAAGGAAGGAGACTAGTGCAGAGGTTATGAGCACATTTGTCTGTTTTGCAAAGAAAATTATTCTGAGACCATGAAATGTTTATTGTAAATCATCCTACATTAGTGGTTACAAGTTTTTAAATCTACACAAATTGAATCTGAATTAACACAACATTCTTGGAGTCATAAATTATACCCATGCCAGAAATGAAACCTTTTCTGTCAAAAAACATTTTGAAACTACATGACTCTTTCTCTTCTGCACCCTTGTTATAGGACTAACATTTACCCTAATGTTAGTTCTTAACACATCAAGTGTTATTTGTAGCAGTAATTTTCCATTTCCCTTTGTAAGTCTCATAGTTGCATTGTGGGAAAACTTTTGTTCCTTTATCCTACTGTATCTTTTCTCACATTAACATCTAGAATTCTAGAAGTTTTTGAAATGGGCGGATTTTTTTTTCACATATAAAATAAGAAAACATCAGTTACAGAAAAGTTTGAGTCTGTTCCAAAGTGATATAAGCAAATAAATATTACACATTTTATATTAAAACTATATTTTTTCTCTCTCAAAAAAATATTTCAAGAAAATCAACTACTAAGAAGCTCTAGAGGACTTTCTAGTCAGTATAGCTATGACTCTCACAAAAATGCAGATATTTCAGTTGTGCAAAATGTTACATGTGTAAATCTATATATTAAAGCTTTTCAAAATTACTACTGACTAGTTTTTATTTTTTTCAGCTTGTATACAACAAATTCTGCCATGCAAAATGGGATTTGAAGTTTTAGAGTAATGTGTTTATAACAACAAATATTAATATATATTATTCTACTTGGATACAGAATTATACATTTCTAAGGATCTGCATAACTCAGTTTTTTTAAAAAAAGATGCCTACTGCTTAGATTGGGATGGAGAGAGGGA